CCAAAAAAGTCCCACGAGCTGCTTCGTGCCCGCTTTGTTGGCCAAAAGTCTACGGCGTGGCTGGACACTACTTTGTAAAATGCAATAATAATAACAACAATTACAACAACAACAACAACAACAACAGCAGCAAATCACAATTTTTAGCATTTTTAGCAAACAGACAAGCAACAAATATGGTCAAATGTGGCACGCAGCAGTATTTTGGCCCGACAGCAGCCGCAGCAGCAAAAGTGAAGCTGAAATCTAAAAAAAAAAGATTGTTTTAGAAATTTGTTGTAATTTTGTGATTTTTATTTATTTTTTTTATACTCATTCTTTTTTGTTAGCAATGATAATTATGCAATTGTTGGCCGTGTCAAATAGTCGAGCAGCTGCGAATAATTAGACAGCATTCTCGCCTGGATTCCTCAGATACACCCAAACGGACGAACTATGTATGCAAGTATGTGTGCCAAACACTTTGTGTTCTAAGCTAATTAAGTGGTTAAGCGCAAGGTTAAAAAGGCAACCAATTTGGTTAGAAAACAACGCGCTCAAACAAATCAAAAACATGTAGAATTCTCCACTGAATGCTGCTTTCTAATTAGAAATCCCGAGCGAGTGCGCGGCTGCAAAAAATAAAAATAAAATAAAATAAACAAAAAAACTCCCAGCCTGCCCGTCTGACGACAAGTGGTCTGCCTTGCCAGCCAATCCAAAGCTGTTGCGTCATCCGCAATGGCAGCAACAACAACAACAACAACAACAACAAGAATCGCATTCGGACGTTGTCGCTGTCGTTGTCTACTTCAAAGATACTTCACAAATTGGTGCTGCTCTGGCCCGCTTTGTTGACGCTGAACGACGAGATCGAAATCGAAATAGAAATCGAAGTTGAATTCGCCTGGCCTAGGCACGGACTGGGTATCTAGCTAGTCATCTGTCCAACGTCCACTGTCCGCTGTCCGCTATCCGCGTTGACTGCGTGCGTCGCGTTGCAGTATAAAAGTAACTGAGTGCACGCATTCAATTTACAGTTGCAGTTCTCAGTTAAAAGCCTAAACATGAAACTATTGGTAAGCCAAAGATATATGATATACGATATATATATACGCATACGATATATCCTTACTAATCATGTTGTGCCTCTGACAGATTCTATCCACTTTGTTGGCCGTTGCAAGCGCTGCACCCGGCTTGCTGGATCTTGGATTGGGACACACCGCACCCGCCATTAGCTATGGACATGCTGAGCCTGCGATTACTTATGCCCATGCAGCGCCAGCCGTCACCTATGCTGCAGCTGCTCCAGTCATCAAGTCGTATGCGCCAGCTATTAGCTACGCAGCGCCAACTGTTGTGAAGTCATATGCGCCCGCTATCAGTTATGCTGCACCTGCTCCGGTCATCAAGTCATATGCACCAGCCATTAGCTACGCTGCTCCCACGTTGGTCAAGTCCTACGCCGCGCCAGTTGCTGTCGCAGCGCCAGTTGTCAAAGCCGTTGCTGCTCCGGCCACAAGCTACTCTCATTTCAGTTCGGTAAGATTATTTAAACAGTGAACCAGTTCATTTAGAACAATTATAGCTCAATTGCTTCAGACTATCGATATTTATTCGCATATATATTGGCCGATATCAGATTAATTTTAAATCCTATCAAACCGCTATCCTCATCGACAGGTTGTTTCCCACGCCACGCCCATCATCAAGTCATACGCAGCCGCACCCATTGTTAAGTCATATGCCGCACCAGCTATTAGCTACGCTGCCCCAACCGTAGTCAAGTCCTATGCTGCCCCAGCGATCAGCTATCAGCCAACATTGCTAAAATCATACGCTGCTGCACCAGCTCTGACACTGGGTGGTTACGATGGCTATGGCTATCACTAAGCAGCCACTGTCATCTCCAGTGCGTGTTTTGGGTAGAGATGGCCACAATGAGGCGTACAAGTGAGAGGGAGCAAGTAACGAGAGAATGAAAGAGAGAGAATGAGAGAGTTGACAGCCGCACGATTTCCAAAACTTATATTTTTCAACAAATTCCCATATTTCGTATATTCTGTATTTATTTAAGGCCCCCAATCATTGCAATTAAAGAAAAATTACATTTTTCAAATGCTGCTATTGTTGTTTTAGTTTTTTTAAACTGTGGATATGATTATTTACTCTAATGTGTGGGTAAATCGATCGTATTTAGTAAAATGAAGCAAATATTGACACCAATAAAACTTCCATTGTTCAGAACTTTAGCAAGTTGACGCCAAGGTCGAGCTTGTGAATCGCAGAATTCCGTTGACTATGGAAAAGGGACTTTGTAATATTTGTAAACACCAAATTTCTCAACTTACATCTGAAATACGAAGTCCCAGAATTAAACGCAATGGGCTCCAATTCATCAGGGACACAAGCCAGGCTGGCGCCTTGGCGCGAGGTGGATAACGTTCCAGCCACATGATGGCGATATGCAGCAAATAACAATAAACGGAAGCTCGCATAATGTGCTGATAGGCTGACACTGAAAAAAATTAAGATTTAATACATATACATATGAGTTCTGAGCAGAATCTATTATACACTTACTGAGAGGCGGCACATAGTGCGGCGAGGCGTGGCGCGTAAGATACATGAGACCCCACGCCGTTAGCATGACAACAATAAGTATAAGAGCGCCGCGTCGATAGCCACGTAAGAGAAATGAGAGTCCCAAGAAGATTTCACATGCTGTCAAAAGAAAATTAGTTAAATATGAAAATGAAAATGTAAATATGATTAAGAACTCACCATACAATGGCATGGCAAAGACCAGTCTGTAGAAGGTGCCATTTCGATGCAATGTGAATCCTATGGCCACATCGCCAGACATTGTCTGCAGTATACCCTTGGGTGTATAGCGCAGAGTAGTTGCATTCTCTACATGCACCACGGCTATTTTTACAAAAGTCCATCCAGAGGGCGTATTTACATGTTCATTGTGCGCCAGCGGCTTTCGTTCATTATCGTGGGTCAAAGCTATCTTTGCCTGGTTCTGATCGATGCCCAGTTGGATGTCGCAATTAATACGCTCATCGGGCCAATTACGTTCAGTGTCCACGCACCATGTCGTCGATTCCCAATTGTTGGCCAGGAGACTGACGTTGCCATTGCTATAAACTCGCAATTCAAAGTCTTTTAATGCGCTACCCAACGACTCCAATGCGCCACTAAAAGAAAAGGAAAATATTTGTATATTTGTGTTCTACACTCATTACATAGTATAACTACAGAACTAGCACTTGGCAATCCAACAAAAATTTATCAAATCCAAGGTTATTGGCGCCTTCGAAGATCCGATACTTGACGGAACTAGTAGCGTCCCAGCTTATCGATCATCCGATGACAAAAATACTTGCTTATCGCTTTCGCATGTATCAGTCATTCGATAGTAGTTGGTGAAATCTTGGCCACTAACCACCTGGTTAGTGTCTTGGCTTAACAGCTTAATAGCCGATAGCAAATTTTATCCATTTTAAGCTATCACAAAATCCCCTAGACTTACGTATCCTTCAACAATTTTTCTATAAACTCAAATAACAATTAAAAAATATATGTACATACTTTAGTATCACCAAGTGAGGTGTCCATATTTGTAATAGTGGATGCTCAAACGATGTCAGTCGCCCATAGCTCTCCGGTTGCCAGCGTAGTCGATCATCTTGCCAGTGCATCATCAGTTGCATACGCGCATGCAAATGGGCGCTAGATGGATCGTAAGCTAGCGATTGCATTTGAAAATTAAACTGAACCTCAGTCAGATTACTGGGCAAGCTGCTGTTCGCACCCTGATATATTAAAGCGCCCAGCAAACGATCTTCAACGGATTGCTCATGCTCCTCCCGCTCCATTTCATTCGCTACGAACACATTTGAGATAAGAAAATGTATGATATAGACTCCAGCTAAATTCACTTACTAAATCCATCAAAGGCGCAATCATAAAACCAGCGCGCGGAGTTCATTCCAAATGTGCTGAAGCTAATGTAGTTGATATTCAGCGGGGAGGGATCAATATAATGAAGCAGTGGCTCCTTCTTAAAGCCAGGAATATAGACATACAAGTCACCATCTAGAAATAAAAATATATATTATTATATAGGCTTCGATTCTTTGAGCTCTGCCTTACCTTTAGTTTGAACGATTTCAATTGGCGTTGGCTCATACACCGAAAGTAATTCAATATCTTGATTTGTTGAGACTCGCTTCATTCCCATGTTTGTGCGAATGGTGGAAAATGTATCTCCACCAGCTCCAATTACTGCGATTGTATATAAATAATATATACAATAAATATATACTAGAATTTTACGCAAATATTCTTGACTTACCTATTTCGTATACTCGATCCTCGGGACGCGGGTGATTTGTTACCGAAAGTAATATATGGGCATCCATGCTCGTTAGCACATAAAATTTTAAATGTAGACGCTCATTGGGCAGGATATTATTATTATCCAAAGTGTGTATCATAAAAAAATCTTTGTATGCATATCCAGCGAATTTATCAATTTCAATGCTGTCGCATGTGTCCAATTGTGCAAAGCTGATATTATAACGGCCCTTCGCGTTGGCCGGATGCAGCGCTAGTGCCAGATATAAGAAAACACTGATAAGCCATTCTGCGGACAACATTGTTTTTAACCGAAGCGCATCTCATGCGTTGTGGGCTCAAAAAACAACTGAAACTTGCGCGCGTCAATTAACATAATTAAGTAAATTATCGAGGCTGAGCAACTTTGCATTCCTTCATCGGGTAATTCTGACATCGCTGTTAATGTTATTTTATAGCTGTTAGCTATTGACAGTAAGTAACGAATTAAATAATTTCACAAAGAACTGTGAATGTTTATTGACTGACGACAATAAATATTTGAATATACATAATTAATTTTAACTTAAGTTACTTCAATTTTAAAAATATTGTCAGCAAGTTTATTAAATAATGAACTTGTGAATCATATTAACTTTTCCTGTTGCGATTGTAGGATACCCCCAATTTTTTTGGGGCCATGTTAGTTATGCGAACTGAGCTTAAAGAACTAGTTTCATGTATTTGAACATAATCAAAATATATATATTTCGATTTATCGATATTGATTAACCATTCGTAACATATCGATACGATAGATTGTCTGTCGCATTGAGCTAAATTTTCATTTAAATTTGCTTTACAATAAATCCGCACGTAGGCGTTAAAAAGGTGAACTGCTAGAGTTGCCCCATTGGCCATGCCGGACGACAGCCAAGATGTCAAAGCCCAGAAACTGGCGGCGGCGCGTAAAAAGGTAAAATGAAAAAACATCATGACGTGGACACCAACACAGATTGCCTTGTATTGATTTTGGTGATTGTTTTGTAGCTGAAAGAGTACCAGCAACGCAACAACAACAACATTGAGGAGAACACTGGCACTAAGTCCAATTCGTCAACAGTAAGCATTGCCAGCAATTTATCCGAACGCTCCGATTGCGAATTAAGCTCGAGCAATGGCGTTGGCAGCGGCAGTGGCAGCGGAGAGGCGCAGACGCAGCAAACACTGGAGCAGAGAATGCCAGAAATGCCCTCGGCAGCTGCGTATTTTTCCGAGAAAACGATGCCGACACTACAGCCAGAAACAGAAGTGCAATCCATTTGGCCGCTGAACGGACAGCAAAGCGATGCAAATTTGCAAACAATTCAAGTATTAATTGCAGAAAAGGCTCAATTAAATACGGAGCTAACGAAGAGCCGGCATCTGTGCCGTGAGCGGGAACTGGAGCTGGAGGAGTTGCGCACAGAGCATGGCCAGACCATGGAGCGACTGGACCAAATGCAGCAGCATTGCCAGGAGCTGCAACGTAGCGCTGGACAGCAACGCAATCAAAACGCTGAGCTGCAACACAAACTTGCGGTGGCAAGTGCTCAAATCGAGGACCAGAAGGCGCATCTCAGTGAGCTGGAGGCTCAGGTGCAGCAGCTCAAAACGAAGCAGGACGAACTGCAACAGCAGCACACCGAAAAATGCAATGAACTGGAAATGGCACAATTACGCATTCGTCAGCTCTCGGACGAGTCGAATGTGAATGCAGACAACCGCGTCGAGACCCTAACCCAAACACAGTATATGTATGAGCAACAAATACGCGATCTGCAGCAAATGGTATCACAGCTAACGCAGGACAAGGAGCAGGCGGCAATTCAGTATCAGAATTATGTGGCCAGCCTAAAGGAACGCAACGCCGAACTGACCGAGGAGGCAGCCGACCTCAAGGAGCGCGAGCGCCAGCTGGTCGAGCATGTGAGCGGTCTCGAACGTGATATACAAAAAAATTTAGCTCTGCAAGCACAATACAAGGAAGCAGCCAAGAAGGAAGCCGAACCAGTCCAGCCAGTACAGACCGAGGTGAGTGATTCTCTAGAGAGTGTTCCAGCTGCTTTTAACTGAGGTCAACTTATAGACGGCGTCGAGTGCGGAGTTAGCTGCGTTGAAGGAAAAAATTGGAGATTTGGAGTTTGAGCGACACGAGTTTCAGTTGAAAATTAAATCACAGGATGATCAATTGCAAATGAAGGAGATCAGACTTGCTGAGTTGGAGCAGGAGTTGGCACGACTGCAGACAGATCGGGGGGATCAGGTGAAGCTATTGGCGACGATGGAGTCCGATAAAGTGGCCGCCTCGCGAGCCCTCAGCCAGAACATGGACATGAAGCAGCAGTTGGATGAGCTGCAGCAACGTTTTGTCCAGCTGACCAATGATAAGTTGGAGCTGGTCAATAAACTGGATGCCGAGGAGTTTGCCAATCGTGAGATGCGCCAGAACTATGCCAGCATGGAGCAGAAGCTAAAAGCGAATGAAGAGCGCTTCAAATTCAAGGATGAGGAAATGATACGACTCTCGCACGAAAACGTCGAGCTGCAGCGCACGCAGCTAATGCTGCAACAGCAGGTGGATCGATTGAGGCACTATGAAGTGAGTGGAGACTGACCAATTGGAATCAAATGAATAAC